GCCCTTTGTTGGGGTCCGAGGCTGGCATCTGGCGTCTGTCAGCAGTCATAAAAAGGTGAAATGGAGTCCGGATAGAGAAAAACATCTGGGTTGTAAAAGGCATGTGGGAAGAACTCCCTGCCTCCACCTTTTCCTTCTCCTCTTTCTTTTCTCACGCACCTATTATCAAAACACTGCTCCATTCTCGCCCATTTTTGCTTCTCGCAAGAGCTACCGTCTATCAAGCACTGCTACATGTCTAGTGTCCATTGGCTTTCTCCCTGCCTGACTTCTGCATCCCCCACCTCTTGTATTTTATATAAACCAGATAAAAACAAAATAAACTCTCTCTCGCTCTCTCTTTGTTCTGATACACGCGTGTAACTGTTTCTTTTGTTCGCAGGACCTGGGGCCCTGACTCCCGGGCCTTGCAGGTTCAAGGCCCCCCGCAGCCCTTTGCTGGAATACAGTTTATATACATCTCAAGATAAGGTGTCAATTTCACATTTCATAACTAGAAGATAATTGTTAAGTTAAGGAAGGAATAAATAATCTGTACAGGCAATATATCAACACTTTCATAGGCAGGCAGTCTCCCAGCCACTCTTCCCCATGGTTTTGTTCAGTGGACATCTCTGTGTTCCTTTCTCTTTAACTTAGATGTGTCTGTAGCCTCCCTCAGGAGTGCTCCTCTCTTAACTTAGTTCTCACAAAATTAATTTTGTTAGTGTTACAAAGGTATATGTTACAAAGGTATATGTTGCAGGTACTTTTAGCATGCAAAAGAAAAAAAGAATTTTTCCTAAGAATGCAGGAAGTTAACTTTAAAATGTAAAGGGGCTGACGAGATAATGTCAGGAGATCCCCTTGTCTCTCAGGCTCAGGTTAACTTCATGACAGTGTGTGCACTGGATATAAGGAGCAGTGCCTTTTAAACGTGTCTGGGGTCTGGGGACGGCTATTTCTGGGAAGCTACTGCTCTGGATACAGTGAGTTACTATAACAGATTTCTGATCTTTCACTGCTGGCAGGAGTGCGGGTGCTGCCACAGATAAGCCCTGCTAACGCCAGGGCAGTAGCACCTGTCTGTGTCTCCGTATCTCCTACTCATCACACGTTTCAAGTCCCACTGATGTCTTACTCAACTGACTCACACGCCAATGAACACACTCTTTTTTGTCAAATCAGAAGAAAATGGCTCCTGTAGTAAATCACCAGATCTTAAACTGGTTATTTTAGGTCCGGGCAATTCACATGCTCCTTAACTACTCCATGTATGTATAGGAGTCTGCATCTAAACACACAGCATTCTGCTTGTTCTAAACTATTTTAAGTTAATGACCACATGGATAATTTTATTTTACATTTCCAAACTGTTAAGGTCCTAGATTTGTCTACTGGTTTTAACTACAAGATACAATAAAACACCTCATTGTCCATGGCAACTTTAAATTTGTTACCTGTGTAACTAAACCCATAACATGATAAAACTCTCATTCCAAGCCACCTTTCCTACCTGACCTACTGCAAAATAATTATTCAACTTGCACAGCTGAACAATAACCTATGACAACTTCTTATATAATCATTTATAACTAAAACTTTGTGGAAGATATACAGCATGATCATGATTTCAATACCCCAAATCTATCCAAAATATTCTTAAAATGGAAGGGTTTTGATTATTACAAGAGAACATACTTTACTATTGCACATATTTGGTTTTAGTTGATTTGAAAATAATTGACAATCATGAAAAATACACTAAGGAAACAAAACAAAACAAAAAAAGAACTGTAATCCAACAATGAGAAGGAAATACTGGTGATGCTGGAGTATAATATGTTCCCAGGCTATTGATTAATGATAGATACCACAAGTAAAGTAAATTGCACCTATCCTTAATTGAAATATTAACAACCAACACAGCCAAATTTAACTACAGAAATAGCTATTCTTCTAGAAAGGGGTAGACACACATAGGTTCATAGCATGTGACACATAAGGATGAAAATTCACATTATATACACATCTGAACAGAAGGATTCTTTCCATTGTACCATGCATAGCCAGTGTAGAACAGATTTCCTCAATGTCAGTGTTGTCTTTATTCCCCAAGAAGACTGGACAGCACAATTGGCCTTTACAACCTGAACTGCCTGAACCTTCCTTCCTGTATTTCCCTAAGGCTTACTTGAAATAGCCATTGTTTGATTGCTTTGTCTGAAAGTGTAACCAAACTTCTCTAATGTGCTGGAGAAGATACTCTTTTGTCCAAGACTAAAGAGATTATGTATTGAAGCCTGGAGCTCTAGCTTTCTGGTTGCTCACATTTCAGAAAGGATGGAGTCCAATCCCTTGGAGATTTCTTATGATCACAAAGCTGCCCCAGTAACTGAGAGTTTTGCTGACATGCAAATTTTAGGGAGGAATTTTTTTCTCAACCTATAAACAGAAGAGTTTTCCTTCATTTACCATGACATTATACAAAATTTACAAAACAGATTCAGTTATCCTTGGAACCAACTTCTGGGTACCTGACATAAATAATACACACTGTTGGTCAGGAGCATAAGCAGCTGCCTTCTTAGTATTAATACTATTTCAAAGCAGCCCTTCCTATTTTCATTCTCAGTTGCACTAATAATAACCTTGGAAAGGGTCCAGTTGGCTTGCAAAATAAGCTACAGCATTTTAATGAAACATACAGCTAAAATGCTATAAAAGTAATGGAAAGAATTTGAAAAAAATTTATTTTCAAAAACGTAAATGAGCAAAAGCAATAAAACACATGTGTTTACTAAAACAACAAAGATATATAGGCATTTATTCTATACTTCAAAAATTTATATTTTAAATTAAAAGTTTGGAGGTTTCTTTCATATACAGGGTGTTATGCAACATCCCAGGATAGGTGGGTTCACCATCAGTTGTAGTGATAAAAAGGAGAATTTTGGAAACTTTGATATCATTTTCACAAGTTTTAATGGTAAGAAGGGAACACAAGACAGCACGGAGACAACAACTTGTGTCCCCTGCAAATCTCTATATGCTCTTTTCTGTGGACTTCAGTGGCATTCCTCAGACTCTCTTCCTCTTATAGTCATTCCACTGTGGCTGTCCCTAAGTGATGCTGCCCTTACATCCCTGACCTCATGGCTCAGGTGTGCACAACCCATGCTCAGGTGTTCATAGTCAGGCACACTTGCCCCACACCCAAACAGCTTCTACATTAACAAGATCAAGGCCTCAGGTAACAGCCACAGAGGCCAATGGCATAAAAGACTGGCCAACTTCATTTACCCTACACAGGGTCACTATATTTAGTGACATCATTTCCTTATGTGCCAAGTTCTATTCTAGGTGCTGGAGAGGAATATTTGAACACAGAGGTCCCTACTCACATGAACATGGGTTCCAGGTAGTCATGAGGAAAAAATCAAAGTGATGTGATGGACAAGAACAGAGGGTCCACAACAGATTTCAATGAGGAGATGCCATTTTGCTGAGATTAGTGGAGTCAGCAGAAGCTCTTCTTTTCAAGATCAGGGGTAAGGAAGCTTCAGATGCAGAAAATGTGCATTGATACCTAAGGTAGGAAGAACCTAGATGTGTTCAGTAATGAAAGACCCAGAAAAAAAAAATCATACTTTCCAAAAAATAAAGTGTTATTTATGCAAAAACATTTAAAATGCTAAGGCAAGGAGTTAAAAGAGTACTCAATACTATTGTTTAGCTTCAGATGTTGGCTTGTGGGTGGATAAAAACCTGTGTATAGTGAAATTAGCAGAGAATCTTGTAAATCTCTCCCCTTCTCCTACTTCATTTTTTTTTTTTTCTTTTTAGAAGCAAGGAGGAGGGTGAAGAAGCAGCACAGGGTCAAAACAAGAGTTACGATTGTTGCATCCCACCTCCATTACTTGCTTGGTGAATTTGGGCCAGGAGTATTTCTTATCCTCCCCCTACTTCTTTGTTTTCACAGTAAATGGAGAAAGTGCCACATATTTGTATCTTTGTGTCAAAACCAATTAGGCACAGAACATCTGTAACTGTAAGCAAACTGAGGAAATAAAACTGCTACTTCTATTGTTATTCACACAGCAAACTTAGAAAAGTAGTTCTGTGACTTAGTTTCACATGGCTTAGGTCAAAAATAGTTTCAGATGACTTTTGATCCTATGACTTGGGGTAAGACATTGAAACATTCTATTCCTCAGTGTCAATAAAATCCTGGGGGAATGCTTTTGTGCCTTATGAGCCATGTGACTCAGGTAAAGCACTGAGCCTGGAACGCACAGTAATGCATGGCACTCCTCACTCCCCCACCCCCCAACTGCATGGGTATTAAGTGCCAGATGCTTGGTCAGGCAGTAGTGTTCTGAGGTGTCAGACATGCCTTTCCCTCACTTTTTTTTTAAAAGATTTATTTATTTATTCATACAGAACTGGGGTACAGGCCAGAGATGCGGAGGGTGAGAGGATTCACCAGAGACAGAGCAGGGACCAGAACAAGCAGATGGATGAAGTACACTGCTGAGGGGAGCAGCGGGTGGGTCAGAAGAGGTCTGCCACGCCATGTGGTCTCCTCCAGGGCAGGCGGGAATCGAACTCATGTGGAAGTGGCTTTGTTTTCTCAGTGCTGTGCTTTAACCCACTGCGCCACCAGGGAGGGCCATTTTTCCTCACTTTTTGCATGTATAAATGAAGAACCAGCCTACTCTAAGATGTAACTATACTTTTTCAAAGAGTATAGTTAAAAAATAACATGGTATTTTCCTCAATACAGGTTTCTCAATCTTATCTCCAAACCTGAGATAGATTTATTATAAATCATGAGCATTTTCTTAAAAATAGGCGGTCTCTAATCTCTTTTGAAATCTTCAAAGATTGAGAAATCACGTAAAACCCGTGTAACCGCCCACCCCCTCAGCTTCCAGGACTTCCTGTTATTTGACTGCCCAGTGCCCTGTGCTTTCGGTTTCATATTACTCTAACTCTGTTAGAAGTTGCTTTACTTTTAATTACTTGGTCTCTGAAGGAAATCCAGAGAGCCACACGACAGTAGAAGGGTAACATAAAAATCCAACCTTCCAATGAGAGGCAAAGAAGTCACAGAAAGCAGGAGAAAAAGAGGTAAGATCTACTACTCTCTCACCAAAGCAACTTTCACTCTGGTTCCAAAGAAGCTCCATATTCTGGATCTAGAGCCCAGAGTGAGGCTGGGACAGGATAGAAGGGATTTTTGATGTTCAGTTCATCTTCCAAAATCTGAGCAGCACCAAGATAGACAGCAGCTGAGCCTGACTTGAGACACAGGTCAGAAAAAAAGATGACCATGTCCCTGTCATTACTACTGTGCTGGGGAGGATTTGGGCAGCAGCAGGTGTGACAGATACTGACAGGTTGAAATGCATCAGGACTTTCTCTTGCTGACATTATGTTGACTGGAGATACTAACTAAAACTCTCTGCGATGAAACTTGCCACAATGTGCCAACTCACTTCTCACCCCTGACAACTAGAACTCCACCTCACTACTCCACTGAACTGCTTCCTCTTTAAAGACTCTGCTGTGGTACATCACAAAGGCAGCATCTTTGTATACATGAGCTCTCAGTGTTCTCCAGTAATTTTAATCCCGTCTTCTGGAACTTCCTCCTTGAGTTCCCTGCTTGGCACTATGTTCATCATGATAGTTTTCTTTCTCTCTCTTCTCTTTATCTCCTCTTTCCTTCCCTTCCTATGATCTCACCCTTTCCCTACCTTTTTTCCCTCCTTTCCCTGCTTCTTTTTCTTTTCAGCAAAAAGGAAAACCAAGAAAATAACAAAAAAGAAATCTAGAAGTGTGAGGCTAGAAATGTAAACATATTTGACTAACTCCGTATCTAGCTCTCCTCTTTTTCCTAATCTTTTAAAACTTATTTCATAGTCTTTTGTTCCCTTACATACATATATACACAAACATGATTTTTAGCAATATTTAATGTCTGTAATTGTACAGTAATATCCCCATTCAGATGGGGGCTAATTTAATATGAAGCTAATGAAGTTTAAGTTTCAGTGCATCTTGCCTGCAGAAGTCCATAACAAAGCTTTAGAAAAACCCCTACATGTGTTTCACATATTCATAGAGTTTGATGAAATTCACTCACACACACACACACACACACACACACACACACACACACACATTAGTTTTGCATCTGGAATACTAATGAGGAGATGTGTGAACTCTCGTTTCAGCAAAATAATAATTTTAGGGGGAAAGAAAGAAGAATTTCTTAAAGATTGAAGAAGTGAAAGAAATCTATCCTAAGAAAATGATTTTTTTTAAATGTCTAGTGTAAATGCTTTAATGAGATTTTAACTGGAGAGTTTTCCATAGTAATTTAAAGAATGTATTCATGAAAGAAGGTGAGTGTTGGTAAGTCCCTGTCATACCAATATTTTTTCCAATGGACTACTGTGACAATGATGCCATAACATTTTTTTTAAAGATTTATTTATTTATGAATACAGAACTGGGGTACAGGCCTGAAGTGCAAGGGCAGTGAGAGGATTCACCAGAGACAGAGTGGAAAGCAGAAAAGGCTGACTGATGAAGTACACTGCTGAGGGGAGCAGTGGGAGGGTCAGGAGAGGTCTGCCACACCATGTGGATCACCCCCAGGGTGAGGATCAAACTCATGCTGAAGTGGCTTTAGCTTCCTAGTGCTGTGCTTCAACCTGCTGCACCACCAGGAAAGGCCCTGACTCCATAACTTTTTAAAATGCTATAGATCTTCACCTCATCCCTCTCACAATTGACAAAACTTTTGACTATGTTGGGGAATTTTAAGACATCATCTTCTCAATGTAAATAACCTGGTGTAAATTCCTGATCTACTTAGGCTGAAAATTTAATTCACCCCATCTCTTCCCTTACAGACACAGGAATATCCCCAACATGACCTCAGAGTTGCACATGTCAGAACCAGTGTGCCTCATAGAGAATGCTCAAAACCAGCTGTTGGCCAATCCGAAGGCTCTGGAGATCCTGTCTGCCATTACACAGCCTGTGGTCGTCGTGGCTATAGTGGGTCTCTACCGCACAGGCAAATCCTACCTGATGAACAAGCTGGCTGGCAAGAGAAGGGGTGAGTGATACCACCAATGTTCTGTCAAAGTCCCCCCTGTCCACCTATATGACCAACATTCAGGATGGTGCCGTGAGGACAGATGTGAGAGATGGGGAAAGAGGTTGGAAGATAACTTCTGATCCACAGTGAAGCTTTAATATGCTATAAAGTGAGCTTGTCTTTCTTCCCACTTGACCTCAGTTTCCCTTTTGAAGGCATAAATTGTTCCTTTCTTAGATAGACTCAGGCAATAATAAAAATATTGTACCTAGTGATAAAGAATAAAGTGTTTACTGAAATGTTTGTGTAGTAAGAACAATTTTCCACTGATGTTTCAAAATTTGTTTGAATCTGAAAAGGATGCTTATATATTTACTGTTTCAAAATGTAATTTTAAAAATTATCATTGCAACTCTTTTTAAGTGTACATTTCTGTGGCACTAGGTAAATTCAGTTAACTTCATAAGTTTTGCATCTTCTCCAATAGAAACTCTGCACCCGTTAAACAATAAGCCTCCCAGAGCTTACAACTACTGTTCAATATTATGTTTCTATGAAAATGACTGTCTGCTCTCTTATAGTAGTAATCATTTTTTTTCTGGTCATGGAATGATTGACTTATTTCACAGATAACATATAAATTACATCACTGTGGTAAAATGTGTCAAATTCTACTCCCTTCTCAGGCAAAATTGTTGTATAGGCATATCAATATTTTGTCTACGATAGACACTTGGGTTGTTTCCACCTTTTGGCTATCAGAATTATATTACTAAGAAATCAGGTGCACAACTATCTGTCCGAGTACTTACTTACACTTTTTTTTTGGTATATACCTAAAAATGGAATTGCTGGATCATATAGCAACCTGATATTTAATTTATTTAAAAAATCACTATATCACTTTCTATTACAATTGTTTCATTTTATATCCTCACCAGAAATACATAAGAGTTCTAATTTTGGCACATTGTCACCAATAATTGTTAATTTCTACTTGCTTATTTTTTCATTTGGCCATACTAATAAATAACAAGTAGTATTTCACTGTGGTTTTCATTTGTATTTCCCTAATAATATATTGAGCACTTGTTATTGGTTATTTGTATATTTTCTCCAGAGAATTATCTATTCATGTTCTTTCTTCAGTTATTTACCAGTTTGCTCTTTATGTCTGTTGTATTGTAGGACATCATAGAAGAGGCTTTAGCTTCTTAGTTCTGTGCTTTAACCTGCTGTGCCAGCAGGGAGGGCCCGCTCCTATATTTTCTGCCACATGTAGGTCTTTTATACATTCATGTACATTTTTATTGCAGGGAATATTTCAGTCTTTCACTATTGAGTATGATTGCTGTAAATTTTCTATTTTTTGCTTTATTACTTTGAAGTAATTTCCTTCTCTATGTTTTGGGTTGATAATTTCTGTCACAAAAACATGTGAAAGTGTTTCATGTAGTGAATATTCTATTTTACCTAATTCTATGATGCAAATTAAGATTAATAACAGTTCATATAGTTTTCTCTCCTAATCCTTGATTTCCAGATCCCATTCCCATTAAATACCCACCTTTTATTTTTTGTCTCAATTCTTCCCTGAAGGCTTCTCCTTGGGCTCCACAGTGCAATCTCACACCAAGGGGATCTGGATGTGGTGTGTGCCTCATCCCAAGAAGCCAAAGCACACCCTAGTTCTTCTGGACACTGAGGGTTTAGGAGATGTGGAGAAGGTATGGGCTGAGGACTCAACCTGGGAACAAACCCCTCATCTCTGAATATTCTCTACCATAATTCAATTTTCCTTAAATAAGAACATACACTCAACCATAATTCTGTTTTCCTTTCTTCACATTCCATGAGAACAACTTTAGCAACCATGGGTCAGGAAAATATTCATAAGGGAGAATATAGACAAGCATAGTCAGTACTGTATTCTAATAAAACAATACCAGGTAATACAGTTGCATACACATGGTATAAGTAAAATAAATTTCATGAGGCTTAAACAGAAATTTAGTGAAGGCTTTTGGTCCCAAATCTTACTACTTCAATTTAAACTATATCACTAACTCAGTAGCTTAAGAAAATTATTTTACTTCTTTTAACATCAGTTGCAAATTTGGAAAACAGACCTATTAGATCTTTATTTTTCTCATACTTGTTTCAACAGATGTAAAAGATCTATATTTGCCTGATTTGTAATGGAGAATTAACTTGTCTAAATGTGCCACCTAGTACTAAGTAAGGGAAACAAAATTCAAAATACAGGTACAAAATAATTGCTAAGTAGATAGCTATATTATTATTTATACATATCAATTATACCATAAAAGAAAGAAAATTCTTACTACTGAAGCCTTAGAATGATCACTAATCTTGACAACTTCTTTTGTAATTATCTTCCAATGGCCAACATAGGACCTAGTGAGAATCAGTATAAACCAAAAAATATTTAAGAGAAACTATTTAATGTACATGTTCTCCTCACAAACATTTTTGTTTGAACATGGTCTTTAATCTTGAAAAAAAATAATAAAAGTCACCTGTAATGAAATGAATACTTTGGCACTGCTGATCTGGAAAGTGCCCTGAGAGAGAAACCAAATCCTGCCCAGTGTGCTCTCATTTCCAGGGTGACAACCAGAACGACTCCTGGATCTTCGCCCTGGCAATCCTCCTGAGCAGTACCTTTGTGTACAACAGCATGGGCACCATCAACCAGCAGGCCATGGACCAGCTGCAGTATCCTTTTTGCCATCCCAAACATGTCAAAGTAGGGGGGAGACTTGTACTAAAAAACAGCTTTCTAAATGTAAACACTGGTGGATCCAGCACACACACATACACCAAAAAATACTTTGAGTATGGGGTGAATCTACGTACATACTGAGAATTCACACTTGGGTTAAGAAGAAAGGGAAAGGAAAGTTCTACAATCTGTGGTGCTAATACAGGATGTGGGAAATGTTCTTGTTTGCCAGTTTCCCTTAGTTTGCTGCTCAGCTATGTGACAGAATTGATAGATAGAATCAGGGCAATAACCGCATCTGATACCAATGGAGCTGAGGATTCAGGTGACTTTGTGAGCTTCTTCCCAGACTTTGTGTGGACACTGAGGGATTTCCACCTGAAGTTGGAAATAGATGGACAACCCATCACACCGGATGAGTACCTGGAGAATTCATTTAAGCTTAAGGAAGGTAAGGTAAAGGGAACTTAGAATTGGCAGTTTATGCTAAGGATAAAGCTCAAGAAAAAAATCATTTCTTAGTTTCCTAATAATACCTTTCTTTTTTTTAAGAGTCGTCAATCTTCTCAGTTGGGTATTTATACTAAGAAATAATTATTTAATATCTGAATTTATAAAATTAATTTTAAATTATGTCTACACCATTCTAAGAACAAGTTTCTTTTTCTTTCACCCTTTCCTGTGCTATGTATGGTCAAGTTAACTTTATATCTCTGCTCAGGTATCATGATGTAATTAGCCTAGGAGTATGACACAAAATGACATGTATGAATAAAATTAGTTCCAAGCATGAACAATGCAGTAGTCCAGAGACATGCATTCTGTAGCCATGGTAAATGATGACTAAGCCAGCCTAACTGCTGTCTTTCAAAATAAGTCTTTATTGGAATAAAGCTTTGTTCATTCATTAGCATACAATTTCTCCACTAGTCACTAGCAAAGCGTTTCTACGAAAACTTTCCTAAGTCAAAGTGGCACCAAACACAGAGACAAATGCCATGAATTTATATGGAAAATTTTTTTATTATCCCCAGATCCAAAAAGTAATCTACAAAATTATACCAAATAACACATGGAATTTAAAATAATACTACCTATCATAAAAGCAAGAACATGATAAATACCCCACCCATAAAATACAGGAATAAGTAGTAAGTTTCATTGATCAGAAAAAAGAATACGCTGAGTGCCCTGGAAGACTGAGAGGTGATGTGGTATTTTAGGTTAGGTATTCAGAGTTTAGTGTGGGAGATACAAGAGCTTGACCTGTAGGACTGAGATGAATATGGTCACTCAAAAGTATCACACTGTCAATTGAATTCATTAGAACAGGAAAATCACTAATGTCCACACCTCCTTCTGTGTCTGTAAACATCAATATCCCAAATCAGACTCATCTTCTGTTGTGGCTAATGTGACTAATGCAGAAAAAGTGAAATTGTACAGTGTGTGTGACTGCTTAGCCTTCCATCTTAGGCTTTGCTGACACCTTATGTCTTATCTTTGCCAAGGAACGTACAAATGGTCGAGATGCAGCACACACCTGCACAGACACCGTTGATGCTGAGCTGCTGAGCTAGCTCCAGGGACAGGAAATGGGCAGTGGCCTAGGACTGCTTGGCAAGGGTGCTCTGATCTGTGACCACTCTCTAAAAGACCAACACTGACTGCTAGTTTCACTATTTGCCTTTTGTGATAGTTGCAAAAATCCTCTTTGGATCGCTTTTGGTTAGCAAAAAATGATGTGACTTTGGTAAAAGTGAAGTGCTTTAAAGAGAACTTTTGAGAATGGGGGGTACTTATAATTCAATAACTACTTTCTGTTGTAAATGAGAACATGCAAAAACCAAAATATTTAATGTGTGACCCTTTACAGTATAATTTTTTAAGTCGCTATTCAGTCAAATACTTTCTTTGTCTTCCTCCAGGCATCAGTGAAAAAGATAGAAAATTTAATCTGCCTCGACTCTGTATCCAGAAGTTCTTCCCGAAGAAGAAATGTTTTATCTTTGATCAGCCCACTAATCAGCAAAAACTAGGCCAACTTGATAGTCTGGATGATGATGAGCTAGACTCCGAATTTATGCAACAAACTGCAGTCTTCTGTGCCTACATCTTCAGCAATTCCAAAACTAAAACACTTACAGGAGGCATCCTGGTCAATGGATCTCGTGAGTCCTCTTCTAGTCTTTATTCTCACTGTAAGACTAAAGCCAGAAGCTATGGCATCTGCCTTACAGAATTTGTTAGTCCCACTCCTTGAGTGAGAAAAGGCAGAAGGAATGAAAGAACCACATCAACACGTCTGATGTCCATACATATCAGCAGTGGTCTTGCCAGAGAGGAGGGTCTAATCCAGTTGATCTGAGGCAGAGGCAGAGTCTGCATTTGTAGCAGCAAACTCCCAGGTGATGCTGAGGACACTGATGCTGTGAGGCAAATGGGGGGCAGTACACATAATCAGAAACCTTCATACCAGCACATTTCCGCGCCCCTTCTACAACAAGCATCATCATTTGTTTTCTGTAGGTCTGGAGAGTTTGGTGGTGACCTACGTCAATGCCATCAGCAGTGGGAATCTGCCCTGCATGAAGAATGCAGTCCTGGCCTTGGCCCAGATAGAGAACTCAGCTGCAGTGCAAAAGGCCGTTGCCCGCTATGACCAACTGATGGACCAGAATGAGCAGCTGCCCGCAGAAAACCTCCAGGAGCTGCTATACCTGCACAAGGCCTTTACCCGAGAGGCCAATGAAGTCTTCATGAGGAGCTGCTTCAAAGATGTAGACCATTTATTTCTAAAGAAATTAGCGGTAATTTTTTTTTCAAGTATATATGGATTCAGGTCTCAGAAAGCAAAGTACTATTATAATATAAAATGTACTCAAACACTAATTTTTTTCGTGAGTAAATTAAACATCTTCCCCATAATTTAATGCACATATGTTATGTTATAATTAGGGCTTTTAATAGAATTGCATCCCTATATTATGAAACTGATTTGATATCCTAGCCAAAAGCAAACTATAGTTTCAGTTCTTTTTAGTAGCCTTATGTTGAACCACCTTTATTCCATATGCAATTATTAGTCTAATTTAAAAAGCAAAATTCATATCTAATGGTCTATGTAAAATTAACAGATTTCAACTCCAGGGATAAAGGGACTTGCACAGAAATTCTGATATCAATTTACTACCTTTTCCTTATTATTTTCGTATCTTATTTTTTACATTAAAGGCCCAGCTAGAAAAAAAGCAGGAAGAATTATTAGAACAGAATTTGAAAGTATCATCAGATCGTTGCTCAGTTTTACTTAAAGATATTTTCACTCCTCTTGAAGAAGCTGTAAAACAGGGGATGTACTCTAAACCAGGGGGCTATTGTCTTTACATCCAGAAAATACAAGAGCTGAAGAAAAAATACTTTCAGCAACCCTGGAAAGGGATGCAGGTAATCAAAATTTAACTATTGATTCTGGGAAGGTGCTGACATGCATCCTTGTAACACCAATGTGGTGAAGTACAGTTGTACACAGATGTGCGATTCAGGGCTGACAGCATTCACACTTACATTCAATCAAAATGCACAGGTTGCCTGTTGAGTTTCTATGACATACATCCTATACTCATCCATGAGTATACACTCAATTAACATCTGAATTATAAATTGGCATATCAGATTTATCACTTAGCTATTCTTGCAATCCACTGTCATATCTGGAGTCAAATATTATAGAGAAAGGCCTCCCCGGTTAATATTAGCACTATCCCAACTACAGCCTAAATTCGTTCCCCAGCTGTAGAACTAACCCACATATAGCAAAGCAAACCTCTCCTATCACACTCATTTCTCCACTTAACAGTGTATTTCAGTGAATCTACCTGTTCTGTTCCCCATTCTGTCTCCAGTGAATTCTCACACCCCAAACCTCTGGCCTATACCCAGTTCTTCTATGCAAAACTAAAAAATTAAATTAAAAAATATTACAGAGGACAGATAGCCTGTGATGGTCACTTTTAAAATTATGGTAATTTACCAGTTTAGATTTAAAATTGTCTTTAAATAGCAAATCCAAAAATTCAAATAATGTTATGATTTGCCTCTCTGTTGTTACTCCCACTCAAACCACATATCCCTCCTTCCCACTCTTCCTCCAACTTCTTTCTTCTTATGTGCCTTCTGCATGATTGCTTCATTCTAAAGCAACTTCACCCCATTCGGACCATAGCATCAGGGCTCCAAAATTAGAGCTCTCAGCCTATAAGATCAGAATCCTAGATTCCCAGTTTACATATAAACGTATGTGTGTATAATTCTGCTTAGTAGGGTTAGAAGATTGGCCTGCCTGGAACATGCACCCACCCTTGAGCACCATGTTTGCAGGCCCAGGAGGAGAAAGTACTAGAGGAAAAGATGGTGGACAGTCAATCAGGAGCAAGTGCTTGCAGACATTTCCTATCACTAATTGCTTGTTCTCTGGGTACTAAGGCTGAAGAGAGTCTTCAGAAATACTTGTTATCTAAGGAATCTGTGACTGACGCCATTCTATGGATAGACCAGACTCTCACAGCAAAGGAAAAGGAACTTGAAGGTGAGACTCTCATTAAGAGACTAGAGAAACTCAAAATCCATGTTAAACTCACTTGGCTGGGTGAATCTAGGGTCCTCAGCTATAGCAAAAACAGTAAAGGTGCCTCATACTACTGAGGTCATTATCTTTTTATCCTCTTTTTTTTTTCTTAAAGATTTATTTATTTAGGCCCTCCCTGGTGGCGCAGCGGGTTAAAGCACAGCACTGAGAATCTAAAGCCATTTCCGCATGAGTTCGATTCCCGCCTCCCCGGAGGTGACCACATGGCGCGGCAGACCTCTGACCCGCCCGCTGCTCCCCTCAGCAGTGTACTTCGTCCATCTGCCTGTTCTGTTTCCCACTCTGTCTCTGGTGAAGCCTCTCGCTGCCCCTGAGCCTCTAGCCTGTACCCCAGTTCTGTATGCACAAATAAATAAATCTTCAAAAAAAATTAAAAAAAGAAAAAGAAAAAAAGAAAAAAAAGATTTATTTATTTATGCATACAGAAGTGGGATACAGGCCAGGGGTGCAGGGGCAGAGAGAGGATTCACCAGAGACAGAGTGGGGAGCAAAACAAGCAGACTGACAAAGTACACTGCTGAGGGGAGCAGTGGGTGGGTCAGGAGAGGTCTGACTAGGGCATGTGCAGTCAGCAGCAATGATGAAGGTCAGTGTACAGGAACAAAGAGACAACATAGTTAACCACATACATTTTTTTTCTTTTTTCTTTTCCTCCTGACAGTGGAACATGTGAAAGCAGAAGCTGCTCAGGCTGCAGCAAAAATGTTACAGGAAAGGCAAATAAGGAATCAAAAGATGATGGAACAGAACGAAAAGAGTCATCAGGAACATGTGAGGCAACTGACTGAGAAGATGGAGAGGGTAAGGGCCCAGCTGTTGCAAGAGTAAGAGAGGACTACTGCTCTTAAACTTCAGGTATTTAATTGCATCATCTTCAGGTTCTATATCCTCTCTAATCTCCCTGATCAGGTTTTAATGTGGAGGTGAGAAAATGAAGCCCAGAAGCAGGGCCTTGCTTGCCTGCTTGTACTTTCCAATATCTTAAAACCAGTTTACAGAAGTGGGGTACAGGTGAGAGGTGTGGTGGGTAAGAGGGTTTACCAGAAATAGAGTAGGGAGCAGAACAGTCAGATACACTGCTGAGGAGAGCAGTGGGCAGGTCAGGAGAGGTCTGCCATGCCATATGGATCAGCTTCCTGGCTGGGAATCGAACTCATGCTGCAGTGGCTTCTGAGAGCTTCATAAGGTAGTGCTTTGCCCTGTTGAGCCACAGGGGAGAGCCCTGTGTCTGGTACTTAAGACCTTTTTGCAGTTTTATCTATCCAGTTCTCTATCAGTATATCCTACAATCGCCGGTAGCTGATAGGCATTATCAAATGTATCTTATTTCTTGCTCTTTATATTATATAAAACAAGAACTCTTGTCTCTACTACTTAAGAAAATAAACAGGCTCAGGAAAGAATAAGTTTTATAGTTATTTATTGGTAAAGATATCTGACTGATTTCCCCACTTAGTGGAATCCACAGTGATTTTTTTCCCCATCACATATGGTATTATTTTACCTCTAATGGAACTATTCTATACCTTGCTTCCAGTTTTGTTGGTAATTAAATGCAGTAATCCGGTTGGGTATTTAGGACTCTGACTTCCTTTCTTAATGTTGTTACACCTGCCACCAAGTTATGGAAACTTAAAGCAAATGCTATAATCTAAGATTCAGATAGTTCACAAGATTTTGAGAATTCTTGATTTCTGTGTTACAAATCTGTGTGCAAAATAGCCTATAATGCATAAATATTTGATTCTAAATATCTGATGAAGATTGCCACACCAATTGTACAGAAGTAATGGGAGAAGAGAACAAAACTCATATTTAATCTTTCTTAGCAAAGGATAATCACAAAAAGTAATCATAAGGCTAGGTTGTCCATGAGAAGTAGAATAAAATCTAAAGGTAAAGAAAATTTCAAAAAGAAATTACTAAAAAAAATTTAAAAAAAAACACAAAACTATGACTGTGGAAACTAGATTGAAGATAGAGATCTACTTAATACTATACTTACACTCCATTTATCCTTTAGCAACAGGCCCAACTCTTAAAGGAAAGATTCCATAATGAGACCAGAAAATTCTAAATGAGATACAGAATTTCCAGAAGAGTATGGAAAAACCAAAGAAGAGATGTTTGTGAAGATGAAGACCTATAAAACAGCTTTCCTGGTCACTTTTAATAAAGGTATAACTCAAACACTTTTAAATTTTGGAAAAATCACTATACTGATATTAATTAGATCTTGTATCTTTATAATACTTAAAATTTGCAAAGGGTATTTAGTACTACAATTGAAATCATGTCCCTCCTTCTACAAAAAAAAAATATATATTTTATCTCTGAGGCAACATACCCAGGATCATGAGCTAGTTCTTGTCATCTTCCAGATAACCAATGGTAGAAAATTTAATATTGAGCAAAGTCTTACATAGTATCTTGGGACATAGTTGGGCCATTAGTTTGGCTAAGTGGGTTTCAATGTCAGCTACAACATTAATTCTTTTTTTTTTAAAGATTTATTGATTTATGCATACAGAACTGGGGTACAGGCAGAGGTGCAGGGGCAATGAGAGGATTTACCAGAGACAGAGTGGGGAGCAGAACAGGAGATCACGAAGTACACTGCTGAGGGGAGTAGCAGGTGGGTCAGGAGAGGTCTGCTGTCCATGTGAGTCACCTCTGGGGTGAGGATTGAACTCATGCTGAAATGGCTTTAGCTTCTTAGTGCTGTGCTTTAACCCACTGTGCCACCAGGGAGGGCCCCACAACATTAATTCTTAAGAAAGACAATGTAGTTTTCCATTTCATCAAGAATGACAGCCTGTGATAAATGAGGTGGTTCCTGGGCACAAGGAATGACAAATCTCTCTAGTGGATTTCAAGCTAAAGTAAATCACCCAAAGTAGACATCTAGAGTCTGCACACAATTACCATACAACATAGGAGGAACTATTAGTTTTACTAGCAGTTGATTATAAACATGTGGAATTTTTCCCTTCTTGCTTACCCATACTTTAAAGGGATACTAGAACTTTAGGTAATTCACACAGCATAGTAATATGATGACAATTACACATTTGTAGCAACATATTCACAGAGATGGACCTTCAATGATGATAATATGTTAGAAATCTGAGCTAAATTAGTAGATCACTTATAATACTAAATCTTAGCTGTCTTTTACCATTTGGTTTTTAGTGAAGTAACATTGAATTATAACACTGTTTAAGTTTCAGTCATGTATCATTAGCATACATATATACTATACTAAGTTTACTATTGAAGGCCCATTCTATCCTTCACCACAAAGTCCAACCCCTTTTGTACTATTTACCTCTAAGATACTTCTTTCCCCTCATTCATACTTGAAATTCTGCTGCTTTTCCCACAAGAGAATATAGACTATTTTTTGCCATGTTGATCAATAAAATACTGTTCTTAGTGTGGAAGTATGCAGAATTCATCCAGTTAACAAGTCTTAGTAAGTGGTTGGTATTTCTGAAAGCAATTAAGAATAATTTTCAAGTTACAAATATATTTCACTGGACTTTTTACTTATTCTGGTAAGTAAGCAATGGAGGATGACTTTTCAATTAAATACGAGACAGTAATTATTCCTGAATTTGTGGACTTACAGTCTGTCTCACCTTTTAAATCTGCTAGTGTGATAGCCGTCCTAGGTGCAGACATAAATGAATGGGCAGAGCAGTATTCCAAAACAGTTTTTTTTTTCCAAAAATAAGTGGTGTCCACATAGTCTACAGACTCTTACTGCATAGAAGTATTGGTCAAATTCCTATATTTTTGCCTGAGTTGCTTAGATTTGTAAGAAACATATGGATTTGCTTATACAAGTAAGGATCTTGAAAATATTTGGTGATGGGAATTTTACAAAACAACTGAGAGGAACAAGCATTTTACAGAAGTGAACAATAATATGAAAATGATGTAAAATATATATAAATAATAACTTAAAATTATTACATGATAAGAGAAAAGCAGAGAAGTGCTGATGCCATTAAATCCATTTTAATAATCTGATTGCATATGGACCTTTTATTCATTTGAATACCCCCTACCCTCCCATCAAAAGGAGAATGTATCCTTCCACAGTTGAGCTCATCCTTTGAATAATTAGTCTTTCCTCACTTCATATGGGATTAGGATGTCAGATGGAATGGTCAATATGCTTTGTATTTTCTTTCTCAAGTTGTATTGCCATCAAAGAGTAAGTAGAATACATTTTTACTAATTGAAAAAAAAATTCATGGTAGAAAAATAACTGCCTTCAAAACCAAATAATAGTTTCTTTATTAACCATATGAAAACAAAGGAACTGAAACTAAGCAAAATTAATGTTTATTCCTATGTATAAGTGTATACCAGATTCCAAATTACCTGACATCTTTTTTAGTGCTTTATTTTTTTTTAAGTATCTCCAGGAACATATTAAAAACTGTCTTTCGGCCCTCCCTGGTGGCGCAGCGGGTTAAAGCACAGCATTGAGAAGCTAAAGCCACTTCCGCATGAGTTAGATTCCCGCCTGCCCCGGAGGTGACCACATGGCGTGGCAGACCTCTCCTGACCCGCCCGCTGCTCCCCTCAGCAGTGTACTTCATCGATCTGCCTGTTCTGCTCCCCACTCTGTCTCTGATGAACCCTCTCGCTGCCCCTAAGCCTCTGGCCTGTACCCCCAGTTCTGTATATGCACAAATAAATAAATCTTATAAAAAAAAAAAACTGTCTTTCAATAAAAGTATATTGCCTTCACTGGTAGTTCTCAATCTAGATGTACTCTAAAATCAGAGTATTAAAAATAAGATTTCTCCCCCTCCTCTTCCCTGACTTTCTGATATCTGAGGTACAGCACTGGATGCTATGATGACAAAAAAAAGTGTAATACAAGGTTATATACCTTCCATTTGCCAAAGCTACTATGTGTAAGGGCCAACAGTTGCCAACCCTTACATTGTTCTGTGTCAAAATACTTTTTAACTTTTAAAGTATGTCTTTCCATGTTTAAGTGACAGGTTTTTCCTCTTATGGGTTTAATGAAAGGAAATATAACTTTTGTAAATATAGCAATTTCATACTAAACACTGAAATCCTGATAAAGTAGTACAATTCCTCATTCCCAGGGCCAAGAGGCAACTAGACCAGTGAAAATGTACTCACTAAACAATAATGCAAACAGAAAGATTTGTAATATTTCAACTTCATTACTACTTTCAAATCATAATTTCAGCAATTTGAATGAAATGAACCAAGTACCAACTACCAAAACCCATTTGTAGTGAAACAGATGATCTGAATTGTCCTATAGCTTATGTAGAAATTGAATTTGCAATAAAGAACAAATTCTTAAATGACATCAGCAAGACAATGGAACAGGAAATCATGGCCCTCATCATCTACATCACGGTCCTCATCACCTCAGTCATTGTTCTCATCACCTCAAATACCAACAAAAGAATGTAAATGCCATATTACCCAGCAATACCACTCTTAGACATATTTCCACAGAATAGAAAACCATCATCAACAACAAAAAATATGTTCCACAATATTCAGCAGCATTATTTACAATAGGTAGGACATGGAAGCAGCCTAAATCTCCATCCTTGCATGAATGGATAGAGAAAATTTAGTATATACATACCACAGACTATTATATAGTCACCAAAAAACTGAAATGCAGCCACGCTCAACAAAATGAAGGGAATTTGAATTACATGCAGCAACATAAGTCCAGAACAAATAAAAGCAAATATTAGATATTCATACACAGATAATTTGACAACATAAAATGCTTTCAACTAGTGGATATCAACAGACATTCTGAGGGCTCCAGGGCTCAGAGGGAGACGAGAAATAAGGAAAAAGGAGACACAAGGGATGGTGGTAGGAAAAAAAGAACTTCATTTAAAAAAAAAACAAAAACAGGGATAAGATAATATTCCCTTATTGTTTTCATTTGCTTTGTACCTACTACAAGTTTCAGCATTCTCTTGATTAGCTTATTACCTGTTTGTAAAAACATAAATAAATTTTGGAAATCTGCAAAAGCCATCAGACATCCCCACTGCATAAAAGATGAAAGACAAACTCTTTGGCATGTCAAATAAGGTTTTCCAAGATCTTACCTCCCAGCTTGCTGTTCTGCCAACCACCATACTGCACATCCTGTAGTCCAACCTTCACTCTAAAGTTCATCTTGTATACTCCCTTGACTGATGGCTTCTAGGAAAAAAAATGATTAAAGAACTTGAACAGATATTTTTCTAATAGCTAAATATAGACACTGAAAAGAATCTAAATAAAAAGATACTCAACATCACCAATCATCAGGAAGTGTTAATCAAAGCAATCCCAAAAGGTAGTGTTGACAAGAGTATGGAGAAATTGGAATACAATGTAAGTAGGATTGCAAATCAGTGCAGCAACTATGGAAAAGAGTATGGATTGGCATGAAAATAGAACTACTTCAACAATCCTACTTCTGGGAATATAGACAAAAAATTAATGTCTTGAGGCAGTATCTGTATTCTCATACTCGTCTCCTTGACATCTTAATGCAAGATAGAAAAACTGTGGAATAAGAATATCAAAGCAATAAAATTTTTAAAAATGCAACAGAAATAATTTTTAAAATAATAATAAAATATAAAATGTTAACAATGCCATTTATAATAGCTGCTAAAATATGATATTCAAGTCTAAGTTACATTTTGATTAAGTACAAATCTAAGAAAACATACACAGGGACTCTGCTAAAAAACAATCTAAGATGAAGAAATCAGAAGACAGATCAGAATTCTTGAATCTCCTTATATTCCACTCCCTCGTAGTTTATATGTTGTTCCATCTATTCACTGTAAAGAGGCTTCAAAACACTTTAATCTTGAGTTAGCCTGGACTAAAGCATACACTTAACACTAGTAAAGTTTTACTGGGAATTAAAAATATGTTCACTATGTGTATGATACAAGTAGAAAGCAGGAAATAAAGTATGGTCTAGAACTCAGAATGACAAATAATGTAACTACCATCTACACACATGTGCCATCCTTCTTAGCCACCAAAATTTCTTTTACAAAGAGTAAGCAGTTCTTAGAACTGCTTGGAACACAAGATGGGCAAACTTACTCAGATTTTCCTGTAGAAACTCTTTTCCAAACTATCTCC